GTTATGATTTTGGTCTCATTTTGACATCTCACATGTTTGACAGATATGGTCGCCAAACCATATCCTAATGAGGACACAGATGGATATGGATTTGGTCTACTAATTTCGCCGGCGGTTGGCGACAAAACTTTGACATCTCGCAACCAAATTGTTTGCTGGGTTGTTACTTTCCGTTTCATTACGACAATGTTACATTTATGTATCTGTGTTTGCTGGGGTGTATGTATAAGATTATAATACAACTTTATCGAGTATCAGTAAATAGTTTTCAGGTAGTAGTTCGGTATCTACCTTTAAGTTTAAGAGGGTACTGGATACCGACTATAGAGACCTGTAAACCGACGTTTTCCTTTGACGTTTGGTGTCGTATTTACTTTATTAAATCTAAAATGCTTCTACAAAAATAAGTAAATTGTGCTGAGTATTGGCGCTTGTTCTTTGGAATGTCAAAATTTAGCATAAATTTTTTCTTATACAGTTTCCTTCTATAACCTCACTATATATTCATGTATGTAGAATTATTTCTAAGCTTACCCTTACGAAAAAGAACTACTGGCAGTAATTTATTGCGGCAGTGGTACGAAAAAATTACTGGCATTCTGTGTAATTGCCAGTAATATTCTTAGTGATCCCTGTAATCCCTAATAATATTCTTATGTGATTGTCAGTAATATTTATATTATTGACTTTATTTATATGTAATCGGCAGTAGTTCTTTTTCGTAAAAGTATGTACATATTTACAATGAACAAGCGCCACAGATACGACGAAAACGAATCTAATGAGACATTCATATTATGGTATGACTATCTAATTGATGAGAACAACGTCTTAGTGTGATGACAGTATAGGTTATCATATGCTCCCTTACGAAAAAGAACTACTGGTAGTAATATATTGCGGCAGTGGTGCGAAAAAATTACTTGCATTCTGTGTAATTGCCAGTACTATTCTTAGTAATTTCTGTAATACATAACAATATTCTTATGTCATTGTCAGTAATATTTATATTACTGACTTTATTTATATGTAATCGGCAGTAGTTCTTTTTCGTAAGGGTAAAACGTCAGTTTACAAGTCTCTAATCAGTTTACAGGCCGGGCTCCAGTACCCTTTTAAGCCAGCTTTCTGCTTTTTAATATGCAACATTTCTGACGTTAATCTTTTGAAATATATAATTTGGTTCTTTGTCTAATATTTTAGTAGATTGTCATTTGAATTTATGACCTGTTTCTATTGAATGTGTCAGCTAGAACTGAAAGCTCTACTTTTTTTTATTTATGTAATTTTTATGTTCTTGCACTCTGGTATTTAATTGTCTTTTCGTGTGTCCTACGTAAGTGGCATCACATTGGTCGCATCATCGTATATGATATACCACATCTTTTTGATTTATTGTAGGAATATTGTCTTTGTGTGTCCTAATAAATTTTGATAATTGATTTAAATTTCTGAAAGCTGGTTTAAATGTCTTGTTATTTATTCTTGTGTTATGTAAACTATATTTATTGTTATGTATGAATGGAATAACAAAATATGAATAATCTCCTATATTGTTGGATGTATTTTCACCTGTTAGTGTTTTTTGTTTGTTTAGTGTATCCTTAAACAACGTTCTCAATCTTTTGTTAATGGTATTGAATATTAAATCTAAAGGATAGTTATTCTCTATTAAAATGTTTATACATTTTTTTAAATTAATCGTGTGAAATCTAGGATGTGATAAAAGAATAGCTCTTATCTGTTAGTGAATATATTGTGACAGTTTTATGGTTACTTGGGCTTATTGAGTAGTAATTAATGTATCTTCTTGAAAAAGTTGGTTTATGGTACCAATTACAAATCAACTTGTTGTTCTCTACAATGACGCTAATGTCCAAAAAATTGAGAACGTTGTTTTCTTGCACTTCTATTGTGAATTGTATTATATTGTGGATAGAGTTGAACGTATCTCTCACTTTTTTTAACTTATCCAAGGGAACCGCCACCAATATATTGTCAACAAATCTGTAGTAAAAAAGAATATTGAATTTAATCAAATTTAAAGCTTTAATTTCCAGGTCTTGTAAGGTGATGTCAGCTACGATAGGTGACAATGGCGATCCCATTGGAGTTCCATGTTTGTTTGTAAATATGGTTGTTAAATGTGAAATATGTAGATGTCAATATAAACTCAACAGCCATAATGAATTCTTGTTTACTGATTTTTGTGTTCATTTTTATATATTTCCATCTGTTCGATATGCTGTCTAAAGCTAGTTCAATTGGAATGTTGGTGAACATCGACATTACGTCAAGCGAGCAGAGTGTGTAACCTACGTCCAACTCCTTTCCATTTAATTCATTGTACAATGTAAGATTGGGTGCTTTCCAACTACGTACACAGGCGACACTGTGTAACACTGTGTCCACTAGTGTGAGTGAGACACACTGATATGCTCTTTCTCACACTAATGGACACTGTGTTACACAGTGTCGCCTGTGTACGTAGTTGGAAAGCACCCATTGTTTGATGTGCGGCGCCACTTCCCGGTGGCTGCGATTAGCGCGCTGCTAGCGGCAGCGTCAGCGGGCGACCGCGTGGCAGGCAAGCAAATTCGAGAGTCTTCCAGAATTCGAAGAAGACGTGTGCTCTCGTGCTGAAAAGAACATAGGCGGACTTCTGTTGTAACGGGCGACCTGAACGGTCGTGCAGAAGCTGTCGTACCGCGAGTGGAAACTTGTGATAAGAAAGCTGTCGTACCGCTAGCGAGAACTTGTAACAAGAAAGCTGTCGTACCGCGAGCGAGAATTTGTGTAAAGAACACGGTCGAACTGTCCACGAGGACTTAGTGGTTATTTTGTTAATTAAAGACTTATATTAAAGACAACAAATAAATATATATTGGCCAGCGTAATAATTATGGTGACGTGTTCAATTTATTCCTGACATATATTATTCGTCGTGTCGGGTAAGGCAAGGTCAAGTGTCCTTAGCTCTTGTTGTTAATTCGAACTGTTAAGTTATTGTGTCGATGTTTGGTTGTAAATTGAAGGTGAATTCAAGTACATCTTGTTTGTCGGTCTCAACAGACTTTATTGTCGTGTCGTGTCGGTTACAAGGAAAAAAAAATAAATTCAAAAATTATTGTCGTGTCGAAAATCTTTCAACAATAAGTAACTATTTTTTACAGCAAATGGTGATTTAGGTGTACTATTGTAAAGAATTTGATGTAAATATTTTGCTATGTTATGTAAAGGTGTATCGATTGTAGGTATTATAATGTGATATGGATAGCCCTGTTTATGTATCTTAGGGACTCCGTATGCTCTGGGGAGTAAGGAATCATTTGATAGTAGTGAAACTTTGGTATGTTTTTCGATGAAATTATTGTTTAGCCATTTATTTAACATATCTCTAAGTTGGTTTTCTATTTTTTTGACTGGATTTTCTAGTATAATTGAATATGTGTTAGTGTCTTTTAACATTTCATTAAGTTTATTTATGTATTCAGTTTTTAAAATCGCTACCGTTGTGTTGCCTTTATCTGCCCTCGTAAAGAAAATATTCGGATTATTTTTAAGAAAATTGTTTGTAATTTTAGCTTTGCGGATTATGTCTTGTTCTAATTTGGAAATCGGTCTGTCATCTTTTAAAAATTTATTAAGATAGGATAGGACCGTCTTATTCCTTATCTCGTTTTTCGTTACTGGATCTAGTTTCTTTATATTATTTTCAACATCCTTAATTGTTTCTATAATCACTGTTTTTTATTTTAGACAGGTAAACAAAATTTATCACCTAATTGTACTAGTTGTATGACTTCTTTTGGAATACTGGTATTAGTAAGATTGACAAACCAATTATCGTGCAATTCTATATTAAACGGTTCTTTTTTATTGAAACTAGATGGTTCAATATTAATGTGAATTTTCTTGTTTGTTTCAGACTCTGTTGGATTGAAATCAAATTCAATGTCATTTTTAGAGAGTTATCTTGTTTAATATTAGCGTAATAATTTATAGGTTTAATATTTATTAATTGTTTAAATTTTAAGGATGAGAATTTTTTGTTAAAAGTGTATTTTTTGGACGTATAAAATTTGTGTAAGGAACTCTCTTGAAGCAAAGAAATTATACAGAATGTTATACAGAACGTTATTATATCATTCTCTAATAGTATTGTGTAAGTTGAAATTTAGTTGTTTCAATTTTTTGTAATTTTCATTTATTTCAAATTTCAATATTTTTTAAACTGTGTTTGATTATATTGTTTAGTTTGTGTAAATTTTTATAATGAGTAATTTTAGAATGGAAGATCTAATATTGGAAATATGTTTAGGAGTTAGATGTGATTTGATACAATTTCTCAAATGAATTTCTCAGATGGAGCGTTTTCATACTTCGTTTCATTCAGTTAAAGACACTTCACCATGACAATTGTGATTTAATCTTATTGTAACGTAATGTGTTTAAAAGTAAATATGTGTAAATTAGGACTCTACAATTTTAACCATTATTTATAGAATATTAATTTTTATAGTATGTACAAATAATATCAAAATGTTGGTCTGTAAATGAATTATCTCGATATTTTATAGATTGATAAGGACTTAAAATAAAGTCGAAACGTCTCAACAATTCGTACATATTGATTCTGCACACCACCCTGCATTGGCTCATTTAATGCCTAATTAATACATTTCTAAATATTACCAACAAGGTCCTGAGGTCATACCTCAAATTTCATCGTGTTTTAAAACTCGGAATCTTTAAAACAAAGCCATCTGTATTGAACAATCTAATATTATAAAATAATCGTTTGCATAAGAAGTCCAAATTTTTTTACGTCACTCATATCGAATGGTAAAAAGATTACGAGTAATGCAAGTTCTCATATTCAATGTAAGACTTTTCATCGAGTATCAAAAAGAGAAATCTTCCAGATAGGTAGAATAAGATTTGATGTGTGTATGTGTATGTGTGTGTGTGTGTGCGTGTGTAAAAGAAAGCAAATCATTCGGTTTATCTAGACAATATTTGAAAAGTATAGTACGAGGAAAGAAAATTCTATCATACATCACTAAGAAACTTTTATTTGGCATTCGATATATTTCCCAGAGAAAAATCTTTTGCGTATATATTTGTAAACACATTTTCTCGTTATTTATAGGGGCAAAAATATTTGTAATAAAATATAAATTTGTTTGCGAATATCGTTTTTTTCGTCAAGAGTTACAAAAAGAAAAGAAAGATAAATAACTCGAGAGAAAATCGCGCGTTGTCGTTCAATCTCCATAATTACAAATATTGTTCTTGTCACTTTGTAATAGATTTACGTTAGTTGATTCAATTTTGCCATAGTATTTCTGACTTTTTGCAAGACTTCCGACATTTGTTCGTATTTACCCGTTGAGTCAGGCAGATTTTCAAAGTTGATAACATCACAGATATTTTTGGAAAACTTTTCTGACGATGGTAGTTTACTATACGGTGAGGTACTCGGTAATATCGGTGTACCTAAGTGCACGGATTTGAGAGAAGCTTGATTCACATGGGAAGATTTTCGCGAAATACAAGGTGATGTCGGAGTGTTGTTGGATAAATACGTATCATTCAAATCAGTAGTAGTTTTACATAACGCGTCCGAAGAGATCCGCGAGTCTGAGTTCTCAGTGAAATTTTGATTCGACAAAATTTTTAAATTGTTTTTCTCAAACGATGTATAATCAGAATCGACTTGAGAACTTGTATCATCAAGTTGTATAAGTAATTCTTTTTTCGTGTTTTCCAAGTCGGATAAAGATGGCGAGTTTACATTCAAGAGAGTTGAGTCATCCTGAAAAATTACAGTTATTAATTAAATATACGCGCACAAGTATCGCGACAATCATTTAAAAACATACCGCGGAATCGAAAGAAGATAACTCTTGCGATTGCGAATCCGAATCTTCCACTGTTATCGGTTGAAACAATCCTGTAGACAATGGTGGTAGTGGTGGCGGTGGTGATGGTGGGTGAGAAGGAGGAGGAGGAGGAGGAGGAGGAGGAGGAGGAGTCGGTTGAAACAATCCTGTAGACAATGGTGGTAGTGGTGGCGGTGGTGATGGTGGGTGAGAAGGAGGAGGAGGAGGAGGAGGAGGAGGAAGTTGCGGCAATTTTTTCGGTAACGGTGATGCAAAATGTCTATTAACAGGCACATTCTCTAAAACAGTTTCTGTTTCAATATAACAAACAAAAACTTGATAAAGTTTGATACTTCTCTACGCAATTATAGTTTATACTACGAAATATAAGATAGAAAAATCTCGATGACTATATATACCTTCTGCATCTTCTATCTCCATGTCACTAGGTATTTGTACAGTATTTACAATAGGTACAGAAAGCTTGAGTTTTTTCCGCTTGTAACCATCTTCAGCTTCTTTACCTTGGAGGCACGACAACATTACTTCTTTACTATGTAGAGATTGCATTTGTGGTACCCAATATTTATCACTATCCTACAAAGTAAAAATATGAAGAAATAAAAAGTATCTCAGAAATGAAGGAAATATTTCTCAACATGCATGCTACTTACATCAACAGTACCAGGAGGAGGTGGTACATTAAAACCAGGAAAGTCGTAAATCTTTTTCAGGTCATATTGATCTTTGTCGACATCCGTAATGATTTCACCTTCTTCTTCAGTGGGGTCAGTTTCTGCAATTCCGTCGGAGTTAAATAACGATAATCCAGAATGTTGCAAGCGTGCTTCTTCCAACCAGCCTGGAGGATAGCCGAGTAATCTCATTCTAAGAAAAAAATCTTTATAAACGATATAAAAAAAAACATAACGTTGGAAATTTCTAACAGACAAATTATAAATTACCTATATATATGTCTAGGTAGTTGATTATCTTTTAATCCCAAGGCCTTCCGTAGTTTTGAACTTAATTGACCAGGAATTATATGACTGAATCTTTGATCTTCGCTCATATGGTATCGATTTCCTATATTATTTTTTGCAAATTCTTTACGATTCTTTTTAATGTTAGCTTGATTTCTAGGTAGTGGACAATCTCGCATATTATGGTTTCCGTTGCAATTGAAGCAATTTAATTTGGATACGGCATCTTTGGATATCTCAGAATCAGATTCTTCAAATCTATCTCTGTATTTCTACACAAATATCATGAGAAACACTTAATATATACATAATATCCTATTTTATACTGTATCTTTAAATAAATATTTAGAAATCACGTAAGTTTAGAAAAAAGAATGTACAAGTGTTATGACTTCGAAAAAGACATAAAATGGTTCCACTGCTTTGATCTTGAATAATCATTTAAAAATCATGTCACTTTTAATTTTTTTAAATTAAAGGAATATAGAAACCCTAATTTTTTTATCACATATTCTTATAGCTTATCTCAAGAACTTTTCAAACCACTATAATACAGTATTTTTTCGTTAAGGAGAGGTTCAGACTTTGGATCACCGATTTGCTTCAAATGCATGTTGATAAGAAGCCACGTACAATCTTAAGTTCAAACAGCAAAGTGCACCTCTTAAACATTTTCGAGAAAATCCATCTCAAACTTACTATATATATTAATTTAAAATATATTTTATTTATCGTTACATTTATACAAAAAGTATATTTTTTGTTATTTTAATTCCTAATTAAATTTGAACTATAAACACACATTTACATCATTATTTTATAAAAAAAAAATAAAAAGATAAATATATATAAATACTCTATAAAGTTTGGGATTGATTTTTTGGCGAATACTTGAGAGGTGCTACTTGAGCTTTGCTACTTTAGCATGCAATTGTTTGTGGTCTCCTACGAAAGTGCAAAATTTGAAGCAAATTGGTGACCCGAACGTCTGAACCTCTCCTTGTAGTTTTCATGTTGTAAAGCTTGAAGAAAACATCATTATCATTATTGTCATTATCATTACCAAAGATATATTGCGTTGCATTGTTAGACTTTTGGTTGTATGTGTGTGGGCACACACACATGTGCATAGATCTCACAGCTCATAACTTCCATATTTTTTGACTCGAAAACACTCTTCAATCGCATATTTTCTGGATATTTGTAACTGTTAAAAGTTGTTGCCATTCTGCTCAATATAGAGTCGAACTCACCTTTAATGATCACTACTGTATTCTACATGCGTAAAATATCTGCAGGCAAAAAATATCATGGAAATGATAAGCCATGAGATATGTGTCACACACAAATATAAATTCAACTGTACTTCACAATACACCTTGCTACTGGTAACAGTACTATAAACTTTAAACCTTATAACATAAAAAATATATAATAAAAAACTACTTTATTATAGTGTTTTGAAAAGCTCTTAAGATATGTTACAAGAATATGCAATAAACAATTAGTTTCTGTTTAAGAAATTAAGATGATTTTACATGATTTTCAAATGTTTATTCAAGGTCAAAGTCACTGGCATCATCTTATGTGCTCTTCAGTCATAATACTTTTATACAAATTTTTCTAAAATTCTGTAATTTCTAGATATTTGACTGTTCAAAATAAAATAGGACACTCTCTGCGTGTGTACAGAAAAAAGCACATACTTGTCCATAAGTTGGAACATCTGAATCATGTACTACATTTGGTTGTTTATCAATTGTGAACAGTGAATCATGTATCATATCATTATTATATTTAATATTACCACATGATTCTTTGTAACAATTTTGATTGTCCCAAATGTCTAAGACAAGACTGGATTCATTGGAATCTTCTTCGTGAGATAGTTCAGATTGTATCAAAGTATGCAAAAAAGCTTTTAATCTTTGTCGATATTGCCTATAATATAGAAGAAAAAAAATATATACAGTATATATAAATTTTTGTCTCATCATAATTTGTATTTATATAAAAACAAATTGTTTACATTTAAATTTACCTGGAAACACTTTCGTCACGAAACATAACCCTAAAAACAGGCTGCGAACGAATAGCATTCGGCACCAAACATTCTGCATTCTTAGAATTGTTAATTGAATCGTTGGTAAGACAAGTAATTTCGCTCATATCACAAGTGGAATCCAATTCAATCACTTCCGGCTCAGAATCTATTGCAACCGTAGAATTTGCAGAAATACCGTCCATTACGTTCCGTTTTTTTTTCAGTACTGAAAATCTATGGTTCACGCCAGTGTTGCAAACTCTGGCCGGCTAGAATGGGCTAGCACCAAGAGCACCGAGGTTAGGGGGTTCAAACCAGAGTTGCAAACTCTGACCCGCTAGCACCAAGAGCACCGAGGTGATGGGAGCCACTAGGAGCACGCACACAAGCGAGAACCGCCGTCCGTGTGCGTGACGTCAAGCTCGGCACTTCGGCTCGTGGAAGAGTGCAGACGTATTATGATGTTCCGTCTATATGAATATTGTATGACCACTGCACTTTTTATATAAAGCACTCATTGATGTAAAGCCCCTTGCACAATGGAAGGAATAGCGATAGCGATAGAAATAACACAGTTTTTAACACAGAATTCCAACTTGTCGGAAATTTTATCGCTATTGCTTATTCCGATTTTCTGATCTGCATTGATACATGTGTAGTTTTGTATGTTAGATTCCGCTGTTCCTACCTTTATTTTTAAATATAAACTCTTTAAAACTTTTGTTATTTCTATCGCTATCGCTATTCCGTCCATTGTGCAAGGGGCTTAAGAAATGACTTCGCCTTGCGTAGAAAATCTTAAACTATGTCGAATCATACATATAGATTTCGATTTGTGTGAAATGTCAAAAACTCATGTGGAATGTTTCAAAATAAAAAATATTTAATGTAAAAAAACTTGGCGCGGCTGCACCAAAAACTAAAGACAAAGTGAAAAAATTAGAAATGCATACTCCTTGAAAATCACTTATATATTTCAAAAACTTTACATTTCTAGGAAATATATCTACTACAGCATGTAAAATAGCTAATTAAATAGAATGGCACACATAACAATTCAATATTAAATGAGATATTTTGTCTTTAAGTTTACGGAAAAACTGCTATATCAGTTGATTCATCGAATCGATCGTTGATTAAAAGACTGTAATAACTGTTGAAGAATTATCTTCATTCAAATCCATGTCTCCTATATCGTTATAATTGAGATTTAAAATAAAGAGCAATGAGATGTTTTGTAAAATTACAGTTGCTTTTGTTCTGTGTAGTTTTATTTCTTGAAAGTTTTTGTTTCTAATTGAATTAGTAGAAGTTAAACTAGATTTATTCTCATTAAGCATATAGTTAGATGATTACTGCATCTTATTTCACAATGACGTAACAAAAAGTATCATTTTAATCTCAGCAGCAGCTGTTTCAAAAGAATAGATTATAGATGCCTGATCATGATGTAATTTTAACTGTCTGATTTGAAAACGGTTCAACATTTTTTATGTGTTTTTAAGTTTTTGTATGATCTTTAAGAAGAGCATGTGATGTGACTTTAAAATATATTTACAGTATTTACAAAAAACTTTTATTTCTTGGAACTTCTTGAATCCAGTCTTTCAATAATGGGTCTAATTCCCATTCTTTCCGATATTTCTGAATGTATAAAGTTCTTTTTTTGGACATTTTACAGACTTGAATATCAAGTACTGTTTCTAACACTGTTCTTTTCTTACACTTTTCGCTTTATAAGGGCAGCTTTCCTCTGTTCACTCAGAAGCGACTGTGACGTTACGAGTTTGCGACTCTCTCTCTGAGAGGCTTTTTAAGATAGATATAGGCTGTGTTTCAAATTTACTGCTAGTACTGGCAGTAAATGTGATTTCTTTTAGAGTGCTTTATTTACGTTAGTTTTCCTTGCCTCTTACGTTACTTATCATGCTATTAGCATAATAAGTGCTAAAAAACGGGAACAGAAACTACTACGTCCACGCCGTTTTTTCTGGGTATCGCTAAAAGTAGAATATAAAAATAGAATAAAAAATGAATTTACAAAATTCAAGGTGACTTTGATTTGAGTTTGAAGATGTTACCAGCATGTCAAAGTAAACCAAAGTCATCATTTTTTTAGTCTCAAACTTAATTAGTAAGTTGAATTAACCTTTATCTGTTCACTTTCGAGTCGCATGAATCAAATAGTACTTAATGAAAAAATAGTTTGTTATAATGTTTTAAAACAGTCTTGAAATCAGCTACAAGAATATGAATTAAAAAATAAAGACTTTTATTTAAAAATTTTTAGGTGACTTTGACATGATTTTGAAAAGATCATTCAAAGTCAAGACCATATTTTTATCATGTGCTCCCTGTAAACTATGCAACTTTTGTTTGAACAATTTTTGTCAATAACGACGTACAGAAGAGATATTAAAATGCATTATTTACAATGGGACACCCTATATATATACATATTTGAAAAAAGCTGATGTTGATTTTCTGGCTATAATAACTTCAATTAATCAAATGTTTGAAGGTCGCACCGTTGACTCGTTGGCAATACTGAATGCGGCGTTCAAAATATCTATAGTCCAGTCAATAGGGAAAAAAAGCACCTTTTTGTGCAAAAATGTTTAACCGAATTCCGATTACATTACCTTGTAGTGTGCGCTTCACTGATGAATCCCTATTGTCGTGCAACGACATTATCGCATGATTCCCCGTAACATTTGGCACGTAATCGCGTACATTTTAAACCATGTTTTTTACAACCATATGATGATGCTGTTGTAAAAGAAGATTTTTTAAACGAAAAAGACAATGACGATGTTCCAGAAAATATGTTTTTACTTAATATTTGTGATGATGAGAATATGTGTGATGAGAATGTTCCCGAATATATTTCTGACGATGAAAATGTACCTACAAAATAACAGAGAACATGATATTAAAACTAATAAAAAAAATATATACTTCTATAAAACATTCTCTTTTTATATATACTTACACCTCTTAATTACTACTGTAATAATAATTTTAATATTCATAATCATCATAA